TTATTTAAATATTAAAAAAAAATTAAATTGTTGCTAATTATAAATTAGTAAATTATTTACACTGGATGTGTTCAGTGAAGACAAAGTTATGGACAGCAATTCTAGAATTGCAGTGTGTAAACTCGTGCAGTTTTGTAGTGTAGTTGTATTGCACTTAAGGGCTACATCAATATAATAAAGACTACCAGTGTTTTGTCATATACCCTCTAGTGCATGAAAGGACCTTGCTGTTTAGAAATTAAAATAATTCACTTTTTATTGCAGTAAGGCATGAAAATAATGTTACTTCTCTATTAGGGAGAGAGGAAAAGTTTGCTTTTCAGAAAATAACTCAGGATAATACTGTTTTAAAATTTGTTTAAAAGAAATTCTAGGGATTGGTCTAGAAAGCTGACACAGCGTGTAAAGGCCAACACCAGTAAGAAACGGAAAGTCTCACTTCTTTTTGATCATCTTGAGCCAGAGGAGCTGTCAGACCACCTCACCTATCTTGAATTTAAGTCTTTCAGAAGAATATCAGTAAGTTATTGATTTATCTATGTATTTGTGTATTTATTTACTTTGAACAAAGATGGGAAATACATAGAAAAGAAGGGTGAGGGGTAGTATTACAAGATTAACCCAGCAGTGGAAGCAGTTGGACAAACTGAATCTCTGCCCAGACCCTATGTTTTTTACTAGTGTGGCCAGTGGTGCTTATTCTGAGTATGTACCCTTTTGCTGCAGTCATTTGAGAGAGGGAGAGTGAACTCTGAGAGTGAACAGAGCAACTGTGAAACAGAGTTGAGGCAAGGCCAGTTGGAGTGAAGAGGAGAAAACCATTTGATCTTCTTCCAAATAATCTCTTTTTGTTAGAACAAGTGGTGTCATCTGGCACAAGAACAAGCAGCCTCCTTTGACTCAAATCAATGATCAGGCTGAAGTGGGGTGAAGGAAACTTGGAATAGTCTCCCTGAATAACCTCCTGGGGCTATAGGAAACCGTGCAGCATCCGTGTGCAGTGACTGTCTGTATAGAAGATGTCCACTGGACTCTGCTTGCCATTTTTGATTGGCCATAACAAAATAAAGAGAAAGTGCCCTTTTTTAATGTAAGGGGGTTTAAAATATTTTATTAGACAAGCTTTCAAGTACACAAACAATTCTTAAGGATTTATCTCATTTATGTTTTCTTTAATTTCATTTGTTTTAGCTTAGCTGATGCTAAGGTACTAACTTCCTGGGCGCCGTGGCTTCGCTTACATCCTTGTATGCTACAACATTACTTCTATTCAAACCTGATACAGTTCACACATGGAGAAGTCAGTCAGTGTGATGATAACAGTGAAAGCTGTTTTTTTTTAGGAGGTGTTTTGGTTTGTTTTTGTTTATTTAGTGGGTTTTTTTCTGAACACTACAATGTGAAGATGAAGTCTTGCAAGGAAAGGGGCTCTCAATAGATTGTGGAAGATTTTGGTCATGTATTAGCGTGCTTTATTTTGAGCTGACAGTACACGACTCTTTGTGTTTTGTGTTAAATTCAAAAAGCCGTGGAACCAAAGTCATGCATAGATTGCTGACTGTAGGCAGCAGTAATATGCAGAGCTTATATAACTCCTAACATTTTCAAGCTCTGTGCAGACATAAGGTAATTAATGATTAATAAGCATAACAAGTATGATTGCAGTGAGTGTCAGATATATCATAGAGTTCCAACAGTTACTTACATTGTATACATTTTATATGCAGGGTTCTTGCGTGTATTTTGGTATAAATTGAGTTTACCAAGACCTCAGATCAGAAAATAATGTGCAATTAATAAATAGCTATATTCATTAACTCTTTGCAGAATGTGTTCATGATATGCTAAGCCACAGAATCCTTTTGTTATTCTAACATGGCAGCATAGACTGGGAGTAGGGCTGCAAATGACCTGCTGTGTTACCAGTCACTGGAATAACTATTCATAGGTTTGGTCATTTGAAAGTCAGAAAGGGCTACTTGATCCCCTGAACATACACAGCACACAGCAATATCTTCCACAAAACACCGTGTATCTTGCAAAGAGTAATGCAGAGTGGTGTTCACAGAGTAATGATTGCAGGTACACCGCTGTTTGGAAGCCACCTTGATTTATAGTTATAAAATATAGGGAGGCTACAGTCTTTTGGAAGAATCTAGATTCTGCTTTCCTGTTGAGGCTTGTAAGTTAGTCATTGCAATTCAAGGTTCTCGTATTATTTAAGTACCTGGACTTCTTTACCGTATGTGCTACTGACAGTCTTGTTACAGCTGACCTTGGTGTTAAATTCTTGCACCAAAATTATTTCAAAAGTTTAAGTAGTATGTTAGGTATACATTTGTCCCATATTAAAAAAAACAAAATCTTTCTGAAGGAGAGAGCTGCTGAGAACAAAATATAAACTAATCAAACTGCTTCATAATTCTGTTCATAAACTGCTATGAAGTCCATAATTATGTAGTCAGATATTGAAAAATTCTCTATCTGGATAGAGTAGTTGTTTGAATTTCAAGATCCAGCCAAATCTGGCTGGGGTTCAAAACTCAAACAATAATTGTAAGTACTATGTAATCTCAGAGACAGCTCTACTTATTACTGTTAATGTTTCTTCCATCTTTAATTTAATAAGAAGACAAATCCAGAGATGGCTGCTGTCATACCTGCTTTTTAAAGTGTTAATAGTTCTTATTAAATTGATAGGGAAAAAAAAGGTGGAAAGAAAGTGAGGGAGAGCAAGAAACAAGCAGCAGCCTGACAATTTATGACCTTTTTTAAAGATCAGTGCCATTCAGTATATTCCTGTGGCCTTAGAAAGGAGCATGTCTATTAAAGCTATGAATGTTTTTGGTAAGATGTTCGTGTTAGTGGTCATAGTAAAGAATGGAATTTATAAATCCTGTGTCACATTTTCTGATGATTCAGATTTTTGTGTATTCTTAATGGATAAATCAAGAGAATAGATAAACATTGCATCAGCAAACCGAATGATTGCTTCTCTTTGACCTTAATGGGAAGAATGGCTTAAAAAAATCTGTCACATTCAGGTGTTTACTGAACAGTTTTAGATCTCTTTGGTTGCCTAAGAGAATTTCACAAGCTGTATTATTAAGGAATCTGTAGCCCTCATTGTTAGTGGCCTTATCGCAGTTTTATATGAATCTCATTGAATTTGCTTTTTGTATTAGTGTAGCTTAATTAAAAAGTGTGCCCTAGCTGCATAAACTGAGCGCTTAACTTCCTTAAGCTATCACTGAGTTACTAGATTACACTTCAAAATCAGTTTAACCTTCCTTGTAGAAGCTTAGTTTCAATGAATCTGCGGAGCCACTGAGGCTGGAAGGAAATCTCCAATTCTACTCATCCTAGGATTTATAAGAGTCAAGGCTCCTGAGATATACGTGAAACACATGATGTGATACAAATTACAGGAAAAAAAGAAGCTCTCAGTTAATTCAGTTAGGTGAAGCCTTCTGCTTTGAACTGAGCAAAGCTTTGACAAAGGAGAGATTTCATTCTTATGGATGTTTAAGGTGTAAAATATATCTACTATCGTTCATTTGAAAAGCAGACCTGTATTTGCACAGAGATCATGAGGTATATGAAACTGTAGGTGAGTTTTCATTTACACTTTTTTTTTTAAGTTCTCAGATTATCAGAACTACATTGTAAATAGTTGTGTGAAGGAGAATCCAACAATGGAAAGATCAATTGCTCTTTGCAATGGTATCTCTCAGTGGGTACAGCTAATGGTTCTCAGCAGACCAACACCACAGCTTCGGGCTGAAGTGTTCATCAAGTTCATTCATGTGGCGCAGGTCAGTTAAATTTTCACATGTGTTTATTTTGTCTGTCTCTAATACAACCCTTTAGTTGCTCTTCCCACACTACTGCTGTAGGGTCAGCTGGGAGTTTTGGCACTGGTCTACTTGTTCATATATACAGCATACATATTTGTGTATGCTGTGGTTTCATACAAAGTGTTCAGATATTACAGTGTCATGGCACCATGACTTTCTCATATCTATTCTGAGAAATAGTTTTCACTGAAAAACTTGTCTTGCTTTTGAATCAGCTGGTGAGATTCCAAGCTGTGACTGCATACCTTTCCAAAGCATAAAGCACTGTCACACCTTTGGCCATAATTAGAAGCATTTCTACCAGATACACCTTACTGGATAGAAGCAGAGCCATAGTGCTATTGGTCTTCTTTGCATAATAATTCAACTGCAGTCATAACCAAGATAATAGGCAGTGTTTCTTAGCTATGGCACGCTGTGGGAATAGGAAGGAGTACTGAGGAAGTACTTGGAAGACTTACTGTGTCTGCAGAATTACTCTGATATAGTAACAGTGGAATAAATACATATTACACCCAGTAAAATCACAGCTCATTACCAAAATGAATGAAGTCAAATGGATAGTCTCACAAAACTGGGAAGACTTTAGAAGATGACAGTAGAGGAAATGTAGAGTTTGGATGTGCATATTGAACAACTTGAACCTTTAAATAATAAATACTGATTTTTTTGTATGTCGACACAGAAGCTCCACCAGCTGCAGAATTTCAATACATTAATGGCAGTGATAGGAGGTCTCTGTCACAGTTCAATTTCCAGACTCAAGGAAACAAGCTCATGTGTTCCTCACGATGTAATTAAGGTTGGTAATCTTTAACTTTTTTTGCTGTTGCACACACAAAAACCCCCTTACTTCATTGGATAAGATGGAGAGAAAGACAAAAAAAGATTACTTCCTTTGGTTTTGGAGGGTTGTTCCTTGCCATTTAATCTCCGTGACACCAGTTACTCCTACACTTCCATCCCCACCTTCCTTCAAGCTTTGTGTAGCTTCTCTGAAGTTGCTCTTTTAATTCTCAGCTGTGACAAGCTGCGTTTTCATTTATATGCAGTGGTACAGAATAGCCTTCAAACACAAAAGCAGAGAATTGGATCCTCGATCATTTGAGAACAAACCATTGTCATCAGTGTCAACGCTGACCATCCCGAGTCTAAGCAATGCTAGCTCAGATGAGTTTAAAACTGAAAAAGCTGGTTTAGTTCATCTGATCTTTCACTATGATTTTATCTAGTTCAGACTTGAACGAACTTAGCCGTAATATACACACAATATAATACAGTGGAATGTTAGGAATCGATTGTAATTGCTAATTAAATTCTTGTGAAGTACAGATGAGTCTTTTTTGCTGAGATGCCAGCTACTAAAACTGTGAAGTGAAGCATATTTTTTAGCAATGAAACGGCTTCTTAAGAGGCTTCTTCTTAAGAGACTGATATGCTTTATTATTTTATCTTGTTTGGGGCCTGAAAGATTTAATATCTAATGAACCTGTTTTGATCACATTATGAAGAGCTTGAATTAACAGTACATACCTGGAGTATAGACCAGTATGATATCCCAGTGATAATGATTGCTGCTTTCAGAATATATAAAACCAGTTAGCAAACTTCATTTAGAAGCTTGTTGTCTTACAAATTTTGTCATTATGAGGAGTGAACTTCATATGTGTTTATCATTTGAGTAAGTTTAGCATCAAGAAATTGTATACAAGTGCTAACAGAAAGCGGGTAAAGAAAGGCTGATAATTAGTGACTTGAGAATACACTTTAAGGTTTAACTGCAACAAACAGTTTATGAAGGCTAAAAATCAAGGGGTTAGACAGGAAATTCCACAGGAAAACATTGGTCCAGTGATTTTATGAAGATAAGAGGCAGCTTTGTACCTGTACAGTTTTAAACAAGGGAAATACTTATACTGCTAGACTTGAGATTCATTTGGCCTTACAACAAGCCCAGTATATTGTTTCTTCTTCATGGAAAATTTTTTTCTTAAAAGCTCAGATGTGTCACCTGTGATGGGACCATAGCTGTGTAGGTTTTCTCTGATTCCAGCAATTCCAGCTGGTGACCGGGAAGCCGGAGAATGGCATTCCACATTTTAAGATGATGATCATTGCTTTTCTGAAGGTCAATGAGGTTGTCCTATGCTTATGCATTATCTGCATGCACACCCCCTTGATTTGAGAGGATCTTATTTCTTTTTGTTGACTAAATAGGGAATGTAGGAAGACCAGCGTTATAGATTAGGCTATAGATTAACTATCTATAATTACATATTACAGATAGTTACATTAGCTGAGGTGATACTAAATTTCATTTGAAACCTGAAGTTTTAAAATCCATTTCAAGGGTCATTGTGAGTAAACACCTTAACAATAACAAGGGAAATGCTTGTGCTGTATGACTAGAGCAAAAAATTTTTGTTTTCTTTTTTTTTTTTCTTTTTCAGGTCTTCAATGAGATGACAGAACTGCTTTCATCTTACAGAAATTATGATAGTTATCGACGTGCCTATAATGAGTGCAGTAACTTTAAGATCCCAATCCTTGGGGTTCACCTGAAAGATTTGATATCACTTCATGAGGGCATGCCAGACTACTTAGAGGACAAAAAAATTAACATATACAAACTATACTCTCTGTATAACCACATAAATGAACTGATACAACTCCAGGAAATGCCACTTCCCCTGGAGGCCAATATGGACCTTGTTCATCTGCTTACGGTAAGTCCCTTAAGATGAGATAAATACCTCCATTAACAAAAATAATCTTTTATACCTCTCAAACAAGTAAATAGAGAATTCCATTAATTATAAATACATAATATTGTAATTTTTGTTCCTTAAGGAAAGGTACTATAATAGAAGAGAAAAAGTTAGTGATACTGATTTATCTGGCGGCAAGGGTAGAAGTGCCAGTTCAGCAGCTTGCTTCCGATTATTTCTGTAAGGGAAGGAAATGTTGATTTCTGCTTCACTTTAGTAGTAGGCATTGTCTCTGTACTTTCACTAAGGAAGTGCTCCGAGTCCTGCTGATTAAGCCTATATTGGGAGATGGGTAGAAAGCTTCCTTAGGTGCACCTTGGGGACAGAAGATTGCATACAAAGCTTCCTTGTGTTGAACATACAAACTTTCCCATAGAAGTTCAATCCCTTAAGATGTGCAGAGTTAAAACATAGCACAATTCTAGCTAAGTTTCTTCTGGTACTAAAAAACCTGACATAAAATTTAGTAAAATAGAGTAGTTGTGTTACTCTTCCAATCATACCTAGTCAGTGTCATGTTACTAAAAAATTTGATATTACCTGGGATGTATGTCACGACAATAGTTTTAACTTCTCCTAGCAAGTTAAAAAAACTGCCTTTTATTAAAAGAGTAAACCTGCTTTCCTTGTTTCACAGTTTTGTTCGGCCTTACCAGGTACCTCATCTTGGAAAAATTACATAGGCTGCTTCCAGTTCTGGTTACAACTCTTGTTTCAGCAAAAGGCTAATAGATTAAAATTTTGATGTGCTTGAGGTTGTTCTCTCTGGGAGCATTCATGTGTGAAATTAGACACATATGCCTGGGACCTGAAATATAGCTACGTTGTGGTGAATTTCTTCCTGCTAGATGTTGTAAATGCTTTGTCTCAAATTATTTTAGGTCCCGCTCCTTTTTTTTTTTTTTTTTAAAAAGAATGATTTATAAAAATGGCCATTAAAATATGTAGAACTTTGGCCATAATTTCATGCAGATATATATGACATACATTACAAGAAGTAAAGATATAAATTAAAACAAATACTTCATTTCAAAGCAGGAGCTTCTAGTCTGCTAATATACTAGGGTACATAACCTTCCTTTTTCCCTATCTTTTTCCAGCAGTCTTTCTCCTTCCTCTTTTCAGTCATATGCTTTCCCATTAGCAGGCAAATCAGTTTGAAGAGGTATTAGTAATTACATACATAAGTCAATAATTCATAGAACTATCATAGCATTTGGAATTTTGTTTTTTGAGTGTCAGAAACGGCTTTTAAGATTTCCACAAGAATCTAAAATTACTCACCATTATGACTACAACAGTAATTGTTGTAGTTGTTCACAAGAAAGTTACTGCATATCTGCAATTTAAGTAAGGTTATTCATTGGATAAAATAGCATATTTTGTTTTTTTTTTGTTTGTTTATGTCCATATGACTGCCACAATCTTCACTCACTGTAACAAGTTTATATGTTCTTTGGACTTGCTATGGATTGAGGCTTGTAATACATTTGTGTCTGGCTTTTCTGTTCAATCATATGTTTAGTGTGAAAAAGTGTCATGTTACCGTCTTCAAACTTAGCTTGAAATTTGTTTCTGGTCAATAAAATATTTGCTATACTATTTTCCAGGACACATGCAGAAGCAAAGGTATAAACTTGTTATTTTTATTTCAAATTCCTTCATTTACCTAGGTGTAATGTTTCTTGTTTTCTGTAACTGCTGTTAGCAGCTAAAGGTTCTCACTACAGAGAAGCTCATCTTTTGTCCTCATCACATACTCCTTAGTTCAACGTGGTCACAGTTGGATTGGATAAATATGATGTGTTTAAACAAGAGTTTTCTGAGAATTTGAGTTGATGGACAGTTCGGTGCTTTTGTGCTTAGTTGCATGATGGACCTCTTGAATATTATGGGAGTAACAGGGTTTTTTTCAGGTTACTTATCAACTGACTACTAATTATGCCTACAGTCACTTCTGCGCTAATGACTGTAGCTGTGTAATGTTACAGATTTACAGGTAAGGGCAATAACAGTCTGGAATTTAGAAATGTGCCCATTTCAAATCAGTGTGAACACCTGTGCAGCTCAAGTGCATTTTTTTCACAGTGCAACCTAAATTAAAAGTTATTCCATGGAAAAATACTAACGCATGCCAGGAACGTTTATCAAGTAGTAGTGACAGTTTCCAGATTAAACTGTTGTTGTGTTTGTTTTCAGCTGTCCCTTGATCTTTACTACACAGAAGATGAAATTTATGAGCTTTCATATGCACGAGAGCCACGAAGTCACCGAGCTGCTGTAAGGGCCTTCCCGAATTCTTAACAAAAGGATTTTTTAAAAATGAGTAATGTGACTTTTATCCATTGCATTAATTTTACTTTATGTTAAGTTGAAAACATTTTAGCTTTATAGACTGAGGAAAATCTGTTAAAGCATAAATTGTTTGGTTAGTGATGAAGCCTAAGCTAGAACATATGGGAGAGTGGACACATCAGGTTTTATCATATCAACCCAAACACAAATGAAGTTACTTTTGTAGAAACAGGACATCAGGCTCAATCTTGGCACTGGATCCTGGTTCTTTTAAATGAAGAGTTCTTATGTGATTCAAATAAAAAAACCCATCGGTGATATATTTCAGTTTTGTTCTTGTTTTATAAGTACAGAGAAAGACGGTGAGTTTACAAGGTTGTCAGTGAGCTGTGACAGTTTAGGGAATGGCCACTGTTTTGGACAGTTCAGGGAAGAACCTCCTCTGACGTGTACCATGTAATTATCAAAAGTATGATATTGGGTCCAATAGGCTATTTCTGCAGTCTTGTATCACACATTTGTGACAAATGAGAGAAGTGTGATACTGAAAATCTTTCCATGTAGTACTAATGAACTCCATTCAATTTCTTTTAGCCTCTGACACCTTCCAAACCACCAGTAGTTGCAGACTGGGCCTCAGGAGTAGCCCCAAAACCTGATCCGAAAACCATCAGCAAACATGTTCAGAGGATGGTCGATGTAAGTATGGTTGGCCCATTTACCTTACATGTCAGTCGTAGCGTTAATCTCTAGGTATAAGAAGACACAAAGAAGGGAAGAAAATAGTGGATGCATTCAAAGCTGTACTGAGTTTGTAAGCGCTTCTGTCCTGACAGAAAGATATTTCTGCCTAGCTGTAAGTAGCAGTGGAGGACTGTGAGGCTTGGAAGGAAATTCCTTAAATGGCTTAGAAACCAGCAGGGAGTGGGAATACTGGTTTGTGTGCTTCCAGAGGCATTCGTCAAGGACCAGGGAGTCCATTTCTGCCGCAGACTTCAACATCATGCTGCTGGTGGAGTCTGAAAGTGAGCTTCTCACAGTGGCTTTGTTACGAGCAGCCATTGCTTTTCTCTCTCTCTTTTGGGTCACCTGCTTTACTGGAAACCATCACGTAAGCTCAGGTGACTGATTCCAAAGTGGATGGAGAGAGGTAAAGAGTTTGTCTTTGCATCCCTGCTTCATCTCTTTTCCTTCTAAGCACTTCTAATATTGCTAGATATCCTTTGATACACGCCGTTTTGGAATATATTTCTAAATTTGGCCTAGGTGTGCTCCATCCCTTAAGGGCAAAGACAAACAGTGATGTCATTCTACAAGTGGAAATATGTATCTGTATGACAATTGTGTCACAGAATCGCAGAATCTCAGGAGTTGGAAGGGACCTGGAAAGCTCATCCAGTCCAACCCCCCTGCCAGAGCAGGATCACCAGACCAGGTCACACAGGAACACGGCCAGGTGGGCCTTGAATGTCTCCAGAGAGGGAGACTCCACAACCTCTCTGGGCAGCCTGGTCCAGTGCTCTGTAACCCTCACAGTAAAGAAGGTTTTCCTCATGTTCAGGTTGAGCCTCCTATGCTCCAGCTTGCTCCCATTGCCTCTTGTCCTATCTGACATCACAGAGCAGAGCCTGGCTCCTTCCTCCTGACACTCGCCCTTTACAAATTCATAAACATGAATGAGGTCACCCCTCAGTCTCCTCTGCTCCAAGCTAAAGAGACCCAGCTCCCTCAGCCGCTCCTCATAAGGGAGATGCTCCACTCCCTCAGTCATCTTTGTGGCTCTGCGCTGGACTCTTTCAAATAATTCCTGTCCTCCTTGAACTGAGGGGCCCAGAACTGGACGCGATAATGTAACAAGTTTTCACCTAACATTGACCTGATGGAATAAGCTAGGCAGCTACACTGATTTGGCTACAGAGATCATCACTGAGAGCATTGGTACAAGTTGTACGTGTAGGCCTGAACATAGTGATCTTAAAGTGAAACAAAAACAGAGCTGTCACTGTGTAGAGAATCGTTTAGTCCAGGCTATGTTGACTTACCTACATTTTGCTACAAATCAGGAAATCATAACGCTTCTTTGGTCTCAAGCCAAAAAAAAAAAAGCAGTTAGCAGTTAGCTAATGGGAGAAAGTGGGAGACAAGATCAATAAATACTGTGGAGGCTTTCTGAACTGGTAATTCAGCCCATCCTTGTTATAAACTATTCTGTTATCTTGCACAGTCTGTCTTCAAAAATTATGACCATGATCAGGATGGATACATTTCCCAGGAAGAATTTGAAAAGATAGCTGCCAGTTTTCCATTCTCATTTTGTGTAATGGCTAAGGACTGGTGAGTACCTAATTCGGCTTACCAACTTCATAGCATCTGTTTTTAGGAGGGGTCTTTGGTTTTTGTTTTTAAATGTTATTTCTGTCATTGGAGTGGTAAAATTCATCCTCTTCACCCACAATTAGAAGTGAAAACTTAACTGACAAAAGCATCCTCTAAATGTGTTGTGAATGCTATAGCAGTGGTAACCAGGCCAGTGTAGGAGGAAGAACAGGTAATAGAAAAAGAAGTATTTTTTGAAATGATATTCAGTATATACTACTAGAGAACTTTTCTAAGATTAAATTGTCCCTCAGAAATAGAGAACTGGCAAATGTGTATTTTAGTCAAGTTAAGAACATTTTTCTTAATATATTAAAAGCATGGGAAAATACAATAATGATTATTCGGAGGTTTCCTGTGAAGTAATTTTGAGGTTGCATCACAGACACAGCTATTTCATTTATCCTTACAGGCTGCATTTAAAATGTCTAGATAAGCTTTCGTAGACTTTGGGAGCAGTTGACAAGATTACTGAGATCACTGTATTTTTGCCATTATAAACTGTGAAGAAAGATATGTTTCATTCTCCTTGTGCTTTTAAGAAAATATACATCTCTGAAACAACTTTTCTTGTTTATTTTCAGGGAAGGCCTGATCAGCAGGGATGAAATAACAGCTTACTTTATGAGGGCTAGCTCAATCTATTCCAAATTAGGACTTGGCTTTGCTCACAACTTCCAAGAGACCACTTACTTAAGGCCTACTTTCTGCGACAACTGTGCTGGATTTGTAAGCTTACTTTTTAGTAGATATATTAATGTTTTTTGGAATAATGCCATTTTCAAAATCCCACAACCATGTGCCATATATACAAATGGATCTACACAAGACATCAGTGAAGCTATATAGAACACCAGGCTTCTGCTTGTGTAGCTATTTAAGGTGCCCTTTACACCCCTGTTGGGATTACTGTTCATCTGTTCAAACACGGCTCCTGCCTTGTGGTGTTTGGTTGTGCCTTAGGCAAGACACCTAAATCTAAAACCTTCCACTCCATGGGGCTGTTAGAGCTCATGTCCTGGTACAGACATGACATGCCCCTGCCTGTGGCACAGCAAGGTTTAGTAAAACTGACTGTCCTACCAATCCCCAGTTAAGATGAAATCAAACAGGAGTGCTGAGATGGAGAATTCTCCATCTACTCCAGCTCCACAACTTCCCTGGGGGCTGTCAGGTCTGCTGATGTACTCATTAGAGACTAGCTCAAGGTATTTTGTTTGTGATTGAGGAACACATGAAATATTAGTAGTTTGTATTTTGACCTTACCATTACAAGGGTAGAAAAACAAGATACTCTGCAGGTGCTCAGATTGTAGAAATGAGTGGAGCTTTTAGTGTCTGGAGGTATCAAATGTGCAGATAAATATATTAATACATAGTCTCTTTGTTTAAATTTTAGCTATGGGGAGTCATTAAACAAGGATACAGATGCAAAGGTAAGGTACTTTGTTAGTTTTACTCTATAATTGATGGTGAATGACAAATGAAACCCCTGATCATCCTGAGATCCATTGCTGTATCTGTGGACCTGTTTAATCTGGCCTCTCAGGGCCTAGGAGAAGACTGGTTCAAGAGCAGTATAAAAGACAGATGGTCCAGAAGAAATGCAAAGATGAAGGAACTCATAACTGATAGCTCTGACCCTTGGCTAAAACACCTCTGAATTTCGATGGTTTGGAAACAGACCCTTCCAGGGGGCGCAAACACCAACGCTGTGAAAACTGTGTAGCACATTCCTGATATGTACTTTGCAGTTTTATTCCTCATGCAGGTATCTGCTTTCTCTGGAACTCCTACAGTCAGAACACTGTCGTGACTGAATGCTGCTCTTTTGTATTTTCACAATGAAAAGGAGTTTTAGGTGTATACAGCACAGGGATGTCATTGGTCTGTTTACCAGATGTATGTTGTTACAGGTAATGCACGTGGAGCACACCACAGAGGCTTTCTTGCTTCCTGAGGAGGCAGCACAGTGTGAGAGCTTATTTTGGATGCTACAACAGAGCCACTGAATTGTGTAAACTTTGTTTTGTTTGCAGACTGTGGAATGAACTGTCACAAGCAATGCAAAGACCTGGTTGTGATAGAGTGCAAGAGAAGGTCCAAAACTTCCGTTGCAGACAGCAGCCCAACGTCTGCTCTTGCTTCAAGCCTCTGCCCAGTTGGAGTAAAGGAGCAATTCCATGGTGAGAAAAAAAAACACATTAAAAAGATCAAAGATCTAGATAGTCCTTCCTTTGCTCCTTTTTCTTTAAAAGTTGAGTTGTACAGCGTAGTTTTTGGTTTCGTTAGTTAACTGCAGTGTTTTACCAACATAATGTACAAACTAGAACCAGGAGTAAGTGAACCTGCACCAAGTAACTCCATTCCAGTTCTGGTCTGAATAAGGACTCCCTTTCTGGGAGATGTCTTGTGACTCTACACAACGTGTGGTGCACAAATTCCACAAAGCTGATTAACTTTTCTGCCAGACTCACGAGAACTGGCTGCCATGACCCGAACAGCTGACAGGTTCCCTTAGCGCTCTCACCTTGTGACAGGCAGGTCTTGGTACGCTCGTTTTTACCACTGTTGTCCTATTGAGTGACCACTGCACTGTTACAATTCTGACTTGGGTTTCAAGGTGGAGTTTGTAAAATCAGTTTACTTGTGTATCTGTGTGCTAGGAAAACCATGAGCTAATTGTGCTTATTTTTCCAACTTCTGTAGGTAAGTCTACAACTCCACTTGGTTCATCCATTTTTCATTTAATCAGAAATGAAAAATCTACACCTCTCTCTGTTCTTTTCTCCTTATAGCAAACAAGCTGTTTAAACTTCTCATATTTGTGTGTTACCATGTAGGCTTCCAAAGGAGGAAGTGGTGTCCTTGAATAAGACCCCAGCCTACTTTTATTCTGTTATTCTTTTGATTTTCATGTTCCAACTCTCTCCATACACACTTTCTTTGAATGTCTCTCCTGCTTTTTGCTTGTATCTCATATTCCTCAAATCTGCTTCTTGCCATGTTGATAATCTTTTGTGTTGTCTCTGAGATTCACACTGGTGGATTCCATCTTAGGCTTCCTATTAGTGCTTTTGTGAGCCACAGTTTCTCTTGATAACTGACTATGTGCATCTCTAAGATTCCACCTGCAATAACTACAGCACTGCCTAATAACCGCCTCGTGGGATGTCGCACTTACAGAGAGATGGAGCTGTAGCTTGTTGCCCCGTCATCACCCACTGCTCCAGAATGTGGTACCTCCCAATGCTCCGTCATGTGGCAGAACGAGAATTCAGGTGTAGGTTGAAGGTGTAAGCCTCATCTGTTCATCTCTGTCCTCATCTAATTCTCCAGCCTTCAGCAGCTACTGGACTGACTTTGTTCGTTCCCCTCACGTGTTTGAACTCACAGTTTCAGTTTGTTTTCTTCCCCAAACAAGAAATTACTTTTTCAAAAACAGGTCTTTTCAAAATCCTGTATCGCATCTTTTGCCCACTGCTTCTCATGTTGTGGGTTCCCCCCCCACCCCTGTTTGTACTTTTAACTGCAGAAGTATTTTAGGATGAGCTGTACAAAAGCAGTGTAAAATTAAAAATGTCATTATCTGGCCTTTATAAAGTGGGTAAGTTGTATCTTACAGCTGCAAGCTGGGACAATGCTGAAGTAACACCCAGGTTTAATCTTCCAGCACAATCATGACGATCAATGGCCTATATAAAACCTTTTACCTATCCAGAGGTTTCTCTTTAGCTGACCTTGATGGCACTGTTTTCCTCTTACTGATCCATATTGGTGTTACTGAGACAGGGCAAAGAGTTATTTCAAGAGACATAATATTGAGAAACTTGCAGTGACACCTATTTTGGAGACCAATGAATGTAAAATCAATACAGAATAAATGTTGTTTTATTTATTAAAATCATCTTTCATTACTATTCCTCCTGTTTCTTCTTTTCGGGGAGAAGATTTTGACTTCAAATTACCATATATATTCTACAGGACAAGAAGAAGGACCGTTCACATTTCCTAATGGAGAAGTAGTGGAACACAATGAAGACAGCAAGGACCGAACCATTATGCTTATGGGTTCCTCAGCTCAGAAAATCTCAGTGAGACTGAAACCAGCTGTGGTTCATAAGGGTTCACAGACTGATCCCGTCCTGCTGGCTGCTGATGCGTCTTGTAGACAGACAGAGAAGAAAGAACATAGGATGCCAGAAAATCCTTATCTCCAGGCAGCTCCACCATCCCCATGGCCAAGCCCACTTCTAGGCCGCAGAAAGGCATACGTTAAATGGGAAAACAAGGACTGCAGCCAGAAGGTGAAGGAGGAACATCGCAGCTGTAAACCCTCATACCAGGAACTCGAGCAGGTACATACGTAATGAAACAAATTCTGCTTTACACGACAGTACTGTAAAGTAGTTGGAGGGTGTGGGGGAGTGGCTGGGTGGGAAGGTGTCACCTTACTCCAGTTAATTAACTCTCAGACCAGTCCAGTGGCACCACAAATTCTCAGCCACTTTACTTCACTTCAAGCATAAATTTAGTACTAGTAGAGGGTTTAGCAAACCTAAACATACAGCCAGAACAGTCCTGAAACAAATTCAAAATAAAATGCTATTCTCTATTTTTCTTTCGTTTAGGAAAGAAATACTCTAAAGGCACACAATGAAGGTTTAAAGATCCAACTGGAACAGGCACATAAAACAATTGAATCTCTCACAATCCAGAGAAGAAACCACATAGTTGACAACTTGCAACACAGAGACTGCTCCTAGCAGCCAAGAGAGGAAATCTTGTATGATGAGAGTGAGACTAAAGGAGGAGTTTTGATAAAGCTGCTTTACCAAGTGAACTGGAGAGAGCGCCTGAGAGATGTTAAACAGAAATACTCTCTTTACTAATTTCCACATTCAACGTGCACTCCCAAATGTATAAATGAATTCCTTTGACTTTTTAAGGTAATTTAGCATTATCTGCACAATGAAAATAGTATCTTCTGGATTTGCTTTTAAAAGGAGTGACGTTGTGGGAGTTTCTGTTCACGATGAAGACCGTGTGGTTCCCAGTGACTTGGCTGCCAGCAGCACACCTTACTCTACAAGTGCTCTGGCAAAGCAGCTGCTCACATGACTCCTGTCACCTCAGAGCTGGCCCAAGTTCAGGTTTGTAGAAACAAGTGTTCGATAATGCTGAGTATTAAATAAAACTGCAGAAGTACTCCAGTGAGAGAAACGGTTCCTTCTCCCTGTGGCTGAAACCAGTTAAAACCATGAAGTGAACTGTCATCTTTATTCCCAGAGCTTAACAAGAGTATTAAATAAGTAGTTAAGACCATGGTATTTGATTATTTGACTCTTAGACTTCAAGACAAACTGACAATATTTTTCAGCCTCTTTCAGAGCTTCAGAAGTCCTGCTGCTCAAACACTCACCTTTGTTAAGGTAAAACAGATGAGACTATAGGGAGTTTACACTGCCACAGCTTGGAACATTTACCCCTACCTATTTGGCTTAAGGGAGAACTTGTTGTCCACATACAGTAGATACAGTTACTGTATTGCAGAGCTCTTAACATCTGGTTCTCACCAAGGTTTCTCCATTTTCTCTCCTAGATTTCACGTGCACTTTAGGTAGAGAGTCAAGATGAGTATGCTCTTGTGTGTAAATGCTGTACAGTAAAAGGTGCTAGGGAGCTAATTTAGTCTTCTTAAAACTACAAAGTGTACATATTGTTAAGAGACAACGAAACAAAACCTACTTGTCAGAATAGCCAATTTTAGAATTGCCTTTGCATTCCAAGAGAATCTGTAAACTTAGAGGTGTATAAAACTTGCTTGCATTTACCAGTAACACATTTAAACGTCTGAAACATATGACTTTAATATATTTATCTACAAAGTCCACTTAGTGCTCCTCAAAACCTGTAAGTTAAAGTCCATTACAGACTGAAATTTTGTCAGTGTATTACAATAGCACATGTGCTTTGTGTTCAGAGTGGTATAAATGTACATCTACAATTTACAGTCATTACAAAGTATATGAATGTTTTATTTATTAAAAAAGTCCATTTGAAACTACTTGCCACCTTAGTGATTCTAAATTCATGTTTTGAACTTGGATTGTGTTTGCATCTCCATTTATAAGTTAAAAAAAATTGAGGGAACGAGTAGGAGTAGAATTTCTGTTACTTCACTGTAAATAACTGAAATACATAGAACAAAAGTCAGCAGCTGTACAGACCGCAGCTTTTTTTCCTCATACACTAACCCTGAATTATTGACAGTTAACACGGAATTGCACTTTGGTCAGTGAAGCAATCAGAATGGCTTTCAGGTCATGTCTGCAAACTTGCTTTGCCCATTTTCTGTAAGCTTCTCGACTTAGTCCTCTGTTCAGGGAACTGCAGCAAGGCAGATTTCTGACAGGCACTTAGCAAATAAAAGTCTGTTTCTGCAGCAATTAAAATCCATAAAAGTTGAATACATTTTCTTGTATTTTGAAAACATCCCAAAAGAGCAGCGAAGACTCAGAAATCGTGGCAGCTAAGGTAACTGCTCGCTTGGGGTCTGAACTCCAGATTGTAACAGCGTTTGTGTGTACGCATCTCCTTTGCCTGCAGTGGGGGCGGTGGAGATGAGGAACAAACTCTTACTTGAAAAGAGAATCCCCTAACATCAGCAGGTGGCCCAAAGGCGACTTCAGACTCAGTTGATACCTGGAGACTTCCTGAGCTCTCAATGTACCTTCAGATTCTCTGCTTGCCTCAAGCCTGTTACTTGTTTTTTTCTTTAATAATAATAGTAGTCCTTGCTTCCTTCCTTGGAGTCTTCCTTTCGCTGCATGGAAAACTAAGAGCAGAAACTGACTGCAGGGACACTGCCAGAACTGACAAAGCTACTGAACAAAAACCACTCACATCTGTATTACTCTACAAGCTGCTTTATGCTAGGAAAAAAAGACATAATTAGTGCTAAGTGCTGTTGAAAAGTCCCGTTAGCAATCGCTGATACTGGAATTTATCTTGTAATGGCTAATTTGAATGAAAAGCACTCACCTTTATTCCTCCTCCAGGCTCAGCTGTGTTTCATGTCCCGTACAGTACATGAAAAAAATGCCCCCACACCCCAACTACTGTTCATTTATTAAGTGTGAATTCTCATTTAAAGACAAAAAGTGAACAGCCTGAGTAATGTCACAATTAACAAGTCAGCGTTACTCCTGTTCAGATTAAACTCAACTGCCTTTCAAGTAGCTTATAAATGTTTTTGGAAGTGTGTTTTTGTTACAGTAGCAACCTGTTATTTTGTTGTAATGATCTGTATGGCGACTTGAAAAATTTATGTTTTAATATTGTTTAAGAAGATTGAAGAAGTGTACAGACTGTAAAGACTTTATATAAACTGTAAGATTCCAGTTTAATATTTATAATAGAAAAAAATAATTAAAATTGCACTTCATGCCTCTGAGTTTGTATCTCACAATCTAAAAAACCTGGATTCGTCTTCCTTGACTGCCAGCCGAGACACTGCTGCAGGATTCATCTACTACCAGAGGCCCCAGGCTGGCATCACCTCCTGCGTGCCTGAATGTTGCTGAGGAAACTCGGGGCGTTGGGTATTGCGGACTTTTCTTTTGGTACTTTAGTGGTTGACGCAACAGACACTTTTGGTACTCGCTATTCCAAGTATTACAAAGCCCATTTCTTTATTAGCACACTCTCTCAGTTTTGTTAAGGATGTTATTCTGAGATTTCACAGCACGATAGCCAAGTTCAAACAAGGCTGCTGTAGTGTCTGCTCGCGCTGGCTGTTACACAGGGAGCACTGGAGCACCCGACAGACTGGCTGTCCTGTACCTGGTTGGTAGTAAACCTCAAAGTACCTTGTCTCAAATGTGTCTTTAGATGGGGCAATGAACATTCACTCAGTTCTCTTCAGTCAGCTGATGGAGGTGAGGAAAGAGAACAGGGAGAGCAGACTAACACAGAAAACACAACCCCCATCTGCAAATCTGCTCTGCAGTCTTGCACATACAAAACAAGGTGTTTTACTTCATAATTACAGGAATATAAAAAAGAAAACTTCAGAATTAATTGGCAGGTATTTCCTTAGTTTACATAAATACAAAAGGAATGATCATATAGACCTATGTTATTTTATTTTTCTATGAAGATAAAATTTAACTGAGATTCCTTAGTAATCCCAGATAATACAACAGGCATGTATTTGTGATGTGCCCTGTCCAGTGACATTTGCCTATATCATTATCTAAAGCCTTCTGTTCTTTCTCATTATAATGAAAAGTAAGTTCCATCACTGTTGTCAGGAATTCTTCCTTACAAACACAGAAGGAACATACGATGGTGGATTCAGATCACACTGCACAAGTGATGCAAACAACTTCAAATACAGAACTTTATTCTTCAGTGTTCACAGCTATTAACAAGTATGTCTCTCTCAAATCCTGAAAATAACCCCAACCTATTTTTCAATTCTGGATCAAACAAAACATGCTGGCTTAACATGAGCCAGCACTGTGCCCACGTGGCCAGAAAAGCCAATGGCATCTTGGCCTGTATTAAAAACAGCGTGACCAGCAGGTCCAGGGAGGTGATCATCCCCCTCTACTCAGCACTGGTGAGGCCGCACCTCGAGTCCTGTGTTCAGTTCTGGGCCCCTCACTAGAAGAAGGATGTTGAGATTCTGGAGCGTGTTCAGAGAAGAGCCACAAGGATGGTGAGGGCTCTGGAGAACAAGCCTGATGAGGAGCGCCTGAGGGAACTGGGGTTGTTTAGCCTGGAGAAGAGAAGGCTGAGGGGAGACCTCATCACCACCTACAACTACCTCAAGGGAGGTCGTAGAGAGGTGGGTGCTGGTCTCTTCTCCCAGGTGATGGGGGATAGAACAAGGGGAAATGGCACCAAGCTGTGCCAAGGGAGGTTCAGGTTAAAGGAGGAAGTTCTTTACTGAGAGGGTCGTCAGAAGCTGGAACAGGCTGCCCAGGGAGGTGGTGGAGTCACCATCCCTGGATGTATTTAAAGAGCGGGTAGACGAGGTACTTAAGGATATGGTTTAGGGGGTAGACAGGAGCGGTTGGACATGATGATCTCAGAGGTCTTTTCCAACCGAGCAATTCTGTGTGATTTTGTGATTATGTGAATATTCAGGTAGATACTCACAAAGTGTGAATAAACACCACAACGCTCACAAACATGAGTATCGAAGTCTTTTACTTACAACAGAATTGTTGAAAATGCTTTTTTTCAAGACAAACATACAAAATTTGAGAAGAGGTTTAACTTAATTATTTTTAGGGTATTATTGCATCTTTTGATAAATTAAAAGCATCAGTTCTGACAACAGCGGTCAGAAAAGGATACTGCTATGAAACACGGTGGTGCTTACTTCAGTTTTTAACTACTGGCTTCACATTTTGGAATCACTTCAGAAGAACTGAAATAGCCAAATTAAAACCCAAAATCTCCAACCTATTTAACCTTCCATCTTTTACATGGTCTACATAAATCTAATTGAAATATAATATGAAACAATTTAAGTGTTAGAATTACACATGGGCACGCAGCTGGTTCACCTGATGGCTCACTTCATTCAGAACTGCCCTACCTGCCAGGACCAGGATAAGCTGATGCGTGCAAAAGCACCACGGCACATCCGCGGCTACAAGGGCTCAACTAAACCCGTGCCACTCTGCATCTTAAGACTGATGAAACCTTCCTGCATAGATAAGCCATCTGGTTTTCCTAGCGTATTTCCTTGGTGAAGCTAAATGCTGGACTGCTGTTCAGAAATTACTTGCAGCAAAAAATATCACTGGGATGAGCAAACAGAATTCTGTGTTAAGGCTCTGGTTGTTCAAAGCCACCCTATCCATTCCTTTGCTGTCCAACACTTCCCCTCCAAGGCCAGCGGTCTCACTCGGTAAGTCACCAATCTGTGAGCTATTCCAGAGCATCAGGCCAAAATCAAAAAGCAAGGAAAACAGTACTGTGCTTCCCTGCGAGCCGTAACGGTCCCTCAAAAGTGACAGCAGAGGCTGACAATGGCTTAGGCCAGAAAGGCGCGTACACAAAACCTAGCAAAGGAACTGTGTTGTTAGCAGTTGGGTGAAGTTAAGCCATTACTCTTGCAAGAGTTCACATCCAAGCTAACATATTCCAGCAAGGAAAACTCCTGCCCTTTTTCATTAGCCACCTGCTGGGACCTAAAGTATGGGTAAGGACCCATCCATCACATCATAAGCAGTATTCTCAAGCAAGCTTATGATCAGAGAGGAAATAACAGGAGAGAAGCTTCTGAAGTTTATCTAGATTAAAAGTTCAAATGAAAAGGTTGGTGATGGCTAATTAATAAAAATCTGACACAGGCTTCTGAAAGAGGTAATAATTGGATTTTTAAACATGATGCTTTGCATTCATGCATAAAGTTGCCTATGAAACAGGACATGATGCACGTGTTCCTGTTGTGAAAACGGGGAGAATAAATCCGGTCTTGTGAGGCCAGCACCGAATATGTGACAGACGCAAATCGGGAAACCAACAGTAATCGTTTATTTACAGCAACATTTACAGGTTCTTTTGGATTGCCGGTGATAAACTAAAAGCTACAGGTACAGTAAAGGTTGTATAACTGATATAATACCACCAACAATGCACTATGAAACACAAACACCACCACCACCACCAACTTGCCCACAGTGAGCCTGGCCCCTGGCAAATAGACAAGCCCGTTTGAACAGAAATACAGCGGAGCAAAACCAATACACCCAGGGAAGCCTAGAAATGAACCCGAGGAGAAAATATGAAATACACTCAGGGAATATGAACCTGAAGAGAAAATATATCACTCAGTGTTAGCGGAGGTAAATAATCTTACCCACGAGGTGACCCGAGTGGTGGGGATGGAGAGGGAGCGAATTCGTCAATCTGTCCAGTCATTGGTATGGTTCAGAGTTCATCTTGTCCCCCCAGATAAGGCCTCCCACGTAAGTTACCTGGGCCAGCATTCCGACCAAGGGGGAAGGTTCTCATCACTCCATGGCTGGAGAAGTAATTCCCCCTCTTTAGCATGAATCTTAGGGTTTTTATCCCCTGATGTATGTGGCAGCAGGCAGGAGGGTGCCTGAGTGGATCAGACCACCTGGAGTGTTTGTCTTACTACTCAAATCTCTGCATTACATCACCAGGGCATACATGCGGGTGGGGATGACTATAGACAACATTGTCAGTGATGTTAATGTCACAAAGTCCGTTAATTCACAGCTACATGGGTAGAGGTAATGGCTCCTTTGCTTGGGGCAGAAAGAAATGGGGGACTGGGACCATGAGGCCTCAGCCTCATCACACACTCCTGCAGGCATCCAGATAACACCAGATATGGATCTAGTGATGGTGGCCACCTCGCTCAGTGCTTGCCAACTCACCCAGTGCTGATTTTCATGCTTCCAGGCATGCAGCTACATGGTGCACATGACTTGGACTTTGTGACTAACTTTTTCTCTCTCTCTACAGTTCCTACAAGTAAAGTAACACCTTTAAAGCATACCAAGTACAGACACCAATAGGAAATGTGTGCAGAAAGAGCTCGTAACTCTGGAACATAAACCCAAAATCAAGTCCTGAAGTTCAACCTGCTGTTAAGCCTACAGCTACACACTCAAAGTGCTTTAAGGTTTCTGTGCTATGCCATCATTAGACACCCCAGGGTTTATCAGACGCCTTCCCAAATCTCTCTGTAGCAACCTGACCCTGATGAATACTGCCATCAGTGTATACTCCAAGGACACATCTTCTCCCTGTCCCACCTCTGCACTCAGGAGCGGCCTCACAGCAGGGAAGGAGATCTACAAGATGCTGGACAACAGAAATTATCGTCTTTGACAGCTCTAAATTTAATTCTCATCTACATGTATTTACAGCCACACTGTGAAGGAGAAGGCACTCATACCACATCAGGACAGTTTCTCTTGGGTTATCAGACCAATTGGTTGGCAGAGTAAGAGAGAAGTCATTCAGGAAGGGCAACTGCTGTATGGGAGGTCTTACTGGCTGGGCAGCTGGCGATTCCCAAACATATCCCAGGCAGAGGAGAGAGAAAAATATAGAAGATATCGGTATGTTCTTTCTCAAGAAGCTCAGCTTTTTCAACCTTTATGTCTCAAGGCGGATTCAGAAGGAACATATAAATGAATTCTTACCAGACATGATGGCTGCAGAAGTTTCCTGCCCAATCTGATCTTAAAATATTTTTATGAAACACCAATAAAATGAAAAACAAGAAAACAGACACTATTAAACCTCACCATGATTCAGAGTTGTACATGGTCCAATTTTCAAATAGTCTCAGATTTATTTATCAACACACAAAACAACCTAATTTGATCAGTTCCCATAGAGTATTAATTCAGAACGTTACTTTTTCATGAAGTTCTGGAAGAATAAGAAACCTAATTAAATAATTTTGACCAAAGCCTTACAGATTTTAACATTTGACATTAACATCTGTTTATGCGTCCCACCTGAAAACTGCATGAAGAGCAAAACCCTGAGAGCAGCATTCCAGAGTCTTTTAAAGTGTTTCCATCTGGTTCTTAGGCCTAATCTGTTTTTTTCTACTGAGCATTTTGGAGCAGGGGAGTGGACATGCAACATGCAATAATTAGAGAGGCCCAAACATCAATTAATGTATTTTGTGTTTGTTTAGAAAGTCTTTTATTCAGTTTTCTGAAGCTTATTTTAAATAAAATGACATACTAAAAAAAACACACATGAGCAGTATGAAAAACAAGGACTTCAGTCATCACGTTTTAGTATAAAAGTTCTGTTAACTAAAAGAACTCAATGACAACATCAGTTGATCTAACGCAGTGATTCAAATGGTCATACTTAATTCTAACCTAAAGTTAACATCTCTAAACCTGTGATACCAGTGAACACCACCACTCTATTTTGCCAGTTACTCTGTTATTATTTACAGTATTTTAGTATCTTCGGTACCCTCCCCCTCCTCGTCCACCATACGGATCACCATAGCCTCCCCTGTCCCTGTAACCTCCTCTGCCCCCATAATCTCCCCTACCCCCATAATCTCCCCTCCCACCTTGGAAGCCACCTCCACCTCTTCCACCACCTCTGAAACCTCCACCTCCAAAACCACCTCCTCCTCCTCTACCCCCTCCACCACCCCAGTTGCCCCTTCCACCACCACCCCCACCTCCCCAGCCACCTCTTCCACCACCTTCTTGTCTCTTTTGCCAAGGAGGCATTTCGGGAGGAGGTGGTTCAATCTCTGTTGGTCTGCCTCCACGGTCAGGGACTCTCCCCATCAGAACCTACATGGAAAACAAGTCATTATTAGTTTAAAAAAGCAGTAATAACAACTTGAAGGCACACAGGGTTCTTCTCCTATGGACGAAGACATGCTGCCTGCTCTTCATGGGAAATGGTGTGGAGCTTGACAGCAGAATCCCCATTTCCTGTGCTTGTAACTTGCCAAGAAAAGAATTAAAAAGGGATCTTGACTTTGGTGGATATTACTTGGTGTACAAAAAGGGAGACTGTACTGGACAAGGTTACACAAAACAAAGTGGTATCCAAGCAGGTTGTAGGTTTCTTATTTCCTTAAAACTTAAGCCCTCTGTGCGATGAATGTTAACAAACTCTGGACAGACCCAGGCACCCAGGCACTCCAGTTAAAGTCCTCTCAAGAGAAAAACAAACAAACCAAGACCTTTCCCTAAGGTCCCACAATAATTAAGAAATTTCGGAATTTTTGGGATCAGAACATATTAAAGGGTACCTAAATGAGACACTTTAGAAAAATGTGTAAATATTCATAAAAACATGCTTAGTCACTATTTGAATGGTGAAACTAATGTCATTACTCACAAGTCAGCCTCATCATACACAAGAAAGCAGTACAGTGTTGATTTATTACTGTAGCCTAACCAAGTAATGGTACTTTGCAGCAAAATGACACTTCCACAGAAATTATGATGATTTTTAACATACTGATAAATAGAGTCTGGTTTATGATGAACTGAACAACATAATCCTGGCAACAGGCAGCCCAGGAACTGATACCAGAAAGACTTCAGACGTATCCTTAACCTGAGGTGCACAGCTCCTCTGAACTCAAGAGGTCATTTACACACACACACACACACACATACACGTACACCACGCCCGACATGCTGTTCCTTCTCATCTAGACTGCTGGTTCATCCTACTGTATTTTAGCACATCCCAGAAAGAAAAAGCGGTACCTTGTTGATAGCACACACTGTGTTTTCCCGTGTTGATCCACTACTTGTTCTTATGATCTTTGATAAATCTTCCCGAGCAGCAAGAAGGTGAGCTAATGTAATAGTTGACTTTGGAGATAATGCATAACGCTTGGGCTGATAAATTCGTGCTATGTCATCTGTTTTTACCTAAATGATAAAATCAAACACAGCTCACTTGCTTGGCATAAAAAACACAAACTCACTGTAAACCATGCATTGGTCTCATTAAGTTTCAATTTGAGCACAGGGTGTAATGTCTGAAAATCTAGGTTATCTTACAAAATATAGAGCCAGTTGTTAACTGATTCTCTTCATAGTGATGGAGCTATTGTAGAAAAAATGCAGCTGGTTATGTTTAATGGATGCTGAAACTTAGAAACTTAATCTACATTAAGGCCCAGTGTTTGAATTCCTCTTGCACGAGAAATGCTGAGGTTCCCTCCTAGGTTACTTGTTGGAGGGGGGTGGATATAGGAAAGCAAAAGAGGAGATATGAACTCATTGAAGTGAGAAACCCCAACAGAGGATGCTAGTCTATAACTGTGAAGCTAGAGATAGTCACAGAGGATGGATTGTGCCATCTGGTCAAATCCTTCCTCTTCCTCAGTATCTGAGACCTGGATTTTACAATGTGGAAAAAAAAACTGGCTGGAAAGACAACAACAGTACTGGAAGAGTATTTACACAGCATGTACATTCGGCAGAGAGACCTGGGGAATTGTAGCAGACTCCCACCTACAGGAAGCAAAAAACACAGCAAGCTTACCTTTGCTCTGTCAGACCAGCCAAAAGACTGCACTGTCACATCCAGCCTCTTCATTAACATACGTCGGCGACATTCATACTCGCTGCGAAGAGCATCATTGATTTTTTCCAATCTTTCCTGCAGTTTTACAACAAAAAATCCAAACATTCAACTCTATAACTTCATAGAAGTCAACTTAAAGTTAAGCCCATTCAGCAACTAAGATGTCTATCCTCAGGTGACCACTATAAACTACACAAAATTGGGGGTGCATCCATGTAGTGCTACAGTAGTGTGTACAAATAAAATACTTTGGAAGTTAGTAAGCAGATGAATCAACACAAAGTCTGCTTTATAACATTAATTCTGGATGTATCTGACTAGCATTGTTAATATTTAGCAGTTGAATTTTAGTATTAGTACTTTGCAATAGAAGAGTGACTGTAAAATGGACAAAGTTAGATGAAGCTGTATGTATTGATCTTGACCATTCTGTTAAATACAAAAAAGAAACAGAGAGACTTTTTTTTACCACTTGGTCAGAATTCAGAGGTTTTGTTAGCAGTGATTTCCCCACATGGTTATTCTGAACTTTAGAGAGAATGTCCTTTATCTGAAACGAAACACATACTTCTGAGAACACAAATTATATTTACATTTATTTCAGCATAATTATCTGCAATCACAATTTGCTTGCACTTTTAAGATCAAACACAGCATATTCATTTTAGCAGATTCACATCTTCTGGCTTATCACCCACTACAAAAAGATTTCCTGAATACTTTCGCTACATGACCAACCTCCATACAAAAATATTTTATGGCACATCACTTCTCCTCCAAATTATAATAGAACAATATCTATATGGCAAATTTATCAAGTGCATATAGGCAGCAGGACTAGTTAAGTTATTCATTTTACTTAAGTGTTGTAACTACAAGTAAGGAAATGTAACAATTGAAAGCTAGGAGATCTGTTGCCAAATGCTAGACTAGGCTACAAAAATCTGGTGATGGGTGCCAGTAAGGAAGGCAGGAGATATGATGGGCATATGCAGTCATCCTCACTTATGTTCCTCTAATCCTATATAACATTATGTTTAAGACTTCTGCATTCACTCCTAATCAGCCTTGTTTATCCTCCTTCCGTTAGGTTTTGCACACAGTGATCGGGGATGAAGTATGCTCTCACTTTCTGCCTTCCAAACTCCACTGTGTTCTCCTGTCTGACAAAGAACCTCTATCTCCTCCTCTTGAAGGAACCTCCTTTGGCTCAGCTCTTCCACAACCACACCATGAACGCCCACAACACTCGTACATAACTGATTTTTCAGCTGCAGCAGACTGCATGCATATTACTGTTCCTGCAAGTTGTACACAGTCTGATGGAGAGAAGAACTACATCTTCATGGGCTTTTGTAAATAATTATGGGGAACCAAGTCAAACAAGACTACAACTAGAGTTAATTTTCTGTTACGTGTCACAAGGAAGGATCAAGGTAGTGCATGATGTACAGTAAAATCTGTAGCCGAGGACGGCCATTAGATCCATTTGCAAGGATTGTTAAGACTTCATGCAAGTATTTACATTAAATTTATCATAAAAGTATGGTTCAAAGCTCACTCTTCCAGTACTATCTTAGTTCATTTTGTCAGACTTTTGAACTCTACATATTATAGAAATACCACCTCCAGTGATCACTATGAAAACAAAACTCTAGCAGAGAGGAATCAAAGCCAAGAGCACCTAGTTAACTGATGAAAGCAAGCTACTGGAAAGGAGTATTTGATAAATCAACTCTCGTATTTCGGGCTCTTTGTAATTATCTTTTTTAAATATATAT